GTCCTCCTTTGCATCGGAGTCCTGATTGAACTGATCTGGATCTGAAGCTCGAGCTGTCTGAGCACATAGTAGCTGCCCCAGCGCTAATTGACAGGGGAACATGCCAGCAGGACGCGCCGCGGAACATCTCAAGGGACGCGCCAAGCGACGTGCCACGGGGACGCACCGCGGGACGTGCCAAGGGGACGCGCTACGGAACGTGCCAACGGACGCGCCACGGGACGTGCCAAGGGACACGCCGCGCGACGTGCCACGGGGACTCGCCACTGGACGCGTCGCGTAACGTGTCAGTTTGCAATGCTGTATGTATCGATCTCGATGTACCATGCCGAGGGCTGTGCTGGGCTGCGCAGTGCTCAATTGTAATGTGCTATGCCGCGGTTGTGCTCGAAGTGTTGTGGATCGACTCCTCCTTTGCATCCGAGTCCTGGCCGAACTGATCTGGAACTTAAGCTCGAGCTGCCTGAACACATAGTAGCTGCCCCAGGGCTAAATTGACAAGGGAACATGCCAGCAGGACGCGCCGCGGAACGTCTCAAGGGACGCGCCAGGCGACGTGCCAGGGGACGTGCCATGGGGACGCACAGCGGGACGTGCCAGGGGACGCGCTACGGAACGTGCCAATGGACGTGCCACAGGACGTGCCAGGGGACCCACGTGTTTTCAGGCTTGCCCCGCCCTGGGGCGTCAGGAACCCATGCGTGTTTACTTATCTCCCGCCCTGGGGCGTTAGGACCCCAGGTGTTTTCACGTTTGTCCCGCCCTGGGGCGTTAGGAGCCCATGTGTTTTCGCGCTTGATCCGCCCTGGGGCGTTAAAAGCCCATGTGTTTTCGCGCTTGATCCGCCCTGGGGCGTTAGGGACCCATTATGTTCACGTTTGTCCCGCCCTGGGGCGTCAGGAGCCCATCTGTTTTCACGCTTGTCCCGCCCTGGGGCGTCAGGAACCCATGCGTGTTCACTTATATTCCGCCCTGGGGCGTCAAGAACCCATGTGTTTTCATGTTTGTCTCGCCCTGGGGTGTTAGGAGCCCATGTGTTTTCGCGCTTGATCCACCCTGGGGCGTTAGGAGCCCATGTGTTTTCGCGCTTGATCCGCCCTGGGGCGCTAAAAGCCCATGTGCTTTCGCGCTTGACCCGCCCTGGGGCGTTAGGAACCATGTGTTTTCACGCTCCTCGAGCCTCCTGGGGCCTCCTGGGGGGCGGGGGGGAGCAAAACGCGCTCCCCGAGCACATGTCCCAACACAGAAAAACACATCCTGGGGCCTCCTGGAAGCCTCCTGGGGGCGTGGGGGGGGGAGCGAAGAGCGCCCCCCGAACATATGTCCCAATACAAAACAATCCCTCCCGGGGCCTCGTGAAGCATCCCGGAGCCTCCTGGGGCGTCAGGAGCCCATGTGTTTTCACGCTTGTCCCGCCCTGGGGCGTCAGGAACCCATGCGTGTTCACTTATCTTCCGCCCTGGGGCGTGAAGAACCCATGTGTTTTCATGTTTATCTCGCCCTGGGGTGTTAGGAACGCATGTGTTTGCGCGCTTGCTCCGCCATGGGGCGTTAGGAACCATGTGTTTTCACGCTTGTCCCGCCCTGGGGCGTTAAGAACCCATGTGTTGTCATGCTTCTCGAGGCTCCTGGGGCCTCCTGGGGGGCGGGGGGAAGCGAAACGCGCGCTCCGAAGACAGATCCCAATACAGAACATACGTAACACAAGCATTCCACCTGAGATATCCTCTGAATTCTGGCCCCCAGGAGAGAAACAACATATAACACAAAACAAACGTTTCGCTCGAGACATCCTCAACAAGTTCAGAAAAACAAGCGCTTTGTCCTGGACATCCTCAAAAGTAAAACAATAGATTAGACAAAACAAGCGTTTCGCTCGAGGCATCCTCAACCAATTCTGAAAAAAACAAGCGTTTCGCTCGGCACATCCTCAAACATCATTCCGCCAACCCTCTTCCCGCCTCGTTATCTACCGCACAAAATTCCGCCGGCCCTCTTCCCGTCGGGTCAAGGGGAAACAGCTAAAAGAGAACCCTGGGCCCGCGCCCCTTCCAGGAAAAAGGAAAACGATACCCAGCCGAGAGCAGAGATTGTGAAGACTGGACGTGCGAATCTGGCCATCGCATCCAGCGCACACGCTACAAGTTCGAACGAACACTCGCATGATACCTCGAACGCAGAACACAAGTCGAGCACATGCTCAAACTAGCGCCAACTTATTCATATGCTCGGCGGACGTCGGTGATTGGAACGACCGGTATGCCAACGCTCGAAATTATATTTTGTAGCCAAAGGCCAATGGCCCGACGGTCAACGGGCACTGGCCATACGTATAGAGTGGAGCGCGCGCATAATGGTTGTATCGCTAGAGGTCAAGGCCCACCCGGAGACTGAACATGGGTGCGTCCAGAAAGCCTCAACTATTCAGGCTGGCGCTGCTACTCTGGAGCCGCTTGTGGAAAACGATTCGGGAATGGCATGCATTCCTGCACGTGTCGCTCCAACAAACAATTTAAGCGTACAGAATGCTGTTGCTGACGCCGGGAACGCCGGGAAAATTTAAAATTCAAGGGAACTGCCCGACTGGCGCGGTCGGACTGGAAAAGGCTCACGAGAAACAGAAGAGCTTCCATTGCATTGTGGGGGTAGATGATCCTCAAGGTCCTGGAGAATATCACCCTCAGGGCCTGGAACTCAGCATCTTTCAACAAACTCCAACCATGGGAACATTGAGGGATTCAGAGACGGATCCCGAGTGAGAAACCACACCAGGGAGGGGTCGAGGTTTTTGTAGGATCGATTGAGGACAGACCAGGAAAGATAACGAGGTTCCAGGGTCGAGGTTCGAGGATCGTACTCGTCGCACTCGTCGTCTTACTCGTCTTACTCGTCGTGCTACTCATCATGTCTTCTCTAACTCGTCGTAATCGGCCTACTCGTCGTCTTTCTCTTCGTATTCGGCCTAATCGTCGTCTTACGCAACTTGCACGTCGTACTCGTCTTACTCGTCGTCTTGCTCGTTCTTTCACGTCATACTCGTCATCCTACCAGTCTCGCTCGTTGTTTTACTCGTCGCGGTGCTCGACATCTTACTCGTCGTTAGCGTTGTCGCGCTCGTCTTACTCGTCGTCTTACTCGTCTTACTCGTCGCCTTACGCGTCGCCTTACGCGTCGTCGTACTCGACGGTATACTCGTCGTACTAGTCGTCTCAGTCAAAGTTTCGTCGTACGTGTCGTTGCACTCGTCGGCGTACTCGTCGCAATCGTCTTACTCGCGGTATGCGTCTTACTCGCCGTCTTACTCGTCGCACTCGTCGTCGTACTCTTCGTCGTGCTCGCGTCACAGTCGTCTTACTCGTCGTCGGCGTCGTCGTACTCGGCGTCGTACTCGTCTTACTTGTCGTCTTGCTCGTCGTCGTTCGGCTTACGCGTCTGACTCGCCGTCTTCTTATCGACAAGCTTGGATCCGCCGATATCCGCCGGCCCCCTTGTGGGGCCACCAGGCTGCGAGGCGCGTGATTCGCAGTTTCCTGTACCAGTTGTAGTTTGTAGTTTCCAGTGTTACAGTTCTGCTTCCTGCTGGTTACTGTAACTAGTTGACTTCTTGCTGGTTACTGTAACTAGTTGATTGACCGCGCGAGGGGGGGGGAGGCCCAAACGGGATTTTTAGCGTCTCCTGGGCGCGTTGTCTGAATTGCTGGGGGGGCTCGAAATCGACACCCCTCACGCAGATCCGCGGGGTCAGGGTCCAAAAACACAGGGGATTTGCCACATTTCTGAAATTCGGTGCCACCCCTCACGCAGATCCGCGGGGTCAGGGTCCAAAAACACAGGGGATTTGCCACATTTCTGAAATTCGGTGCCACCCCTCACGCAGATCCGCGGGGTCAGGGTCCAAAAACACAGGGGATTTGCCACATTTCTGAAATTCGGTGCCACCCCTCACGCAGATCCGCGGGGTCAGGGTCCAAAAACACAGGGGATTTGCCACATTTCTGAAATTCGGTGCCACCCCTCACGCAGATCCGCGGCGTCAGGGTCCAAAAACACAGGGATTTGCCACCTTTCTGACATTCGGCGCCACCCCTTACGCAGATCCGCGGGGTCAGGGTCCAAAAACACAAGGGATTTGGCACATTTCTGAAATTCGGTGCCACCCTTCACGCACATCCATCGCAAGGCGTGGTAACCCAAACTGCGAGAACTCCCTCGGCCCTTTAATCGCAAGGTGTGGTAACCAAGCCCGTACACCATACACGTCTTACCAATCGCCAGGTGTGGTAACCCCTCTTGTGATCAGTTGGTTTTGCTGATTGCGAATCGGCTTCGCATGAAGTTTCGATACTGGTTCACAACAGCGCCAAGGCCTCATGACTTAGCTCTTCCTTGGCCCATTCTCCGAGAGAGGGGGCCGGCGGCAGGGGGCGAAGCCCTTACGGATATGTCGATCCATTTCGATATTGAGATTTCGGCAATTTGCCCCGTATATCGAGATATTAGAATCGGCTGAATTCGAAGTATCATATAGAGATGTCGAGATATCGAATTCCCACCCTCCCGAATCCGCGATCTTGAAATACTGGGATATCGAGACATCGAGATAACGAGTTGGCACTCCCCGGAACCCGGGATGTCGAAACATCGAGATATAGAGATTTCGAGTTTGCGCCCCCTCCGAAGCGAGCTATCGAGATGTCGGGATATCGAGATATCGAGATCGGCTTCCCCCTTGCGTCTATTCACACGCCCGCTGGGCCCCCACACTGAGAAAAACGGCAGAGCTTCTCATCTAAGCTGGCGAAAGGAAGGAATATTATCATGGAGGACGCCCTGCTGTGGTGACACTTCCACATCAACTTCTGGTGCGAGACGTAGCTCCTGCAAGCTGTCGCCACGAAGAGCGCAACCAACATCTGTGTGCGATTTCGGAGCGCGCCCCAAGAGCAATGCATGAAAACGGCGCGTGTGAAGACGCCAAGCCTGGCAACTTGATTGACGGCTCAATAGGATTTTCCTTTGCCTTTGCTTCCAACCGCGCTCTTGTAGCCTTTCTTGCCTTTGCCATCTCCTTTGCCCTTGTTGCCCTTGCCGGAGACTGTGTCGTTGCTGATTCTGGCCCCTGCGGCACCAGTGTGCCCCTCTGGCTTGTAGCCATCGGCAGCAGATGGTACAAGATCTGTGTGAGTCCAGTTTTCTGTCAGACCCAGCTCGCTGGGAAAAGCGCCGATGTCCAGTAAGATCGAGCTCTCCGTACGTTGGACAGACCGCCACGGTTCATCGAAAGGGAGCATGCCAGAATCGTCGAAGCCAGACTGGGCCCCAATGTAGCTGCTGAGGGTTGTGGCCATCGCACGCCCTGACAAGGCGGCGCCCTGAATCCCTGGAGACACGCAGAAGTCTCCGCACCATCCCAGCCCAGCCTCCACATCGAACAGACATCCTTTCGAATCGGGAGGAGCATTTGTTGCTAAACCATCTTCCCAATGGTTGATGCGATTGATCACGGGTCTGTGCTTCGCCAAGTCTGTAACGCCAAGCACTCGTGACAGAGCTCCCAACATCCCGTCCTGTGCCGAGCGCTTGTAACCCTTTGGATTGGTGTTGAACTCAGTCTCGGCAAACTTTGCAGTACTGAGCAATGTCCAATGCTGTGGGCCAGGGGTTCCGTCTTTTCCGCTCTGCTGAGGCTTCCTGGAATTATTGCAAACAAAACTCAAACAATCCTCCCCGTACACATGCGCAGCCGTGAAGGCCGCTGGGAGAGGATCGCCCTCAAAGCACACCTGAATCGGAATCAGCTGATTCGACTCAACACGCCTCAGACACTGCAACATCTTCTGGCAAACCTGCCCGCCACTTAAGAGAAACGGGTCAGTGAGGACGTGCTGGGCGAAGCCGCCGATCACGAAGTCGAACGGCCCTAACTGTTTCCCCCCAAGGGTGCCCAACCTCCACGTATTCGACGTTTTCGACAAGCTCTTCACGGCCATGCTCGACTCTGGGAATCCAGCAACATGCTCAACGATGCCGGGAAACTCCTGCTTGATGTCCTCGATGACTTTCGCCAGCATCGGGCCCATGCCACCATTCCCTACCCAACACTTTCCTCCAAGGACAGGCTTGAAACCATTTGCCTCAGAAAGCATCCCAATTTGATTACCAGCCAATGCCGTCACAAATCCTGCCTTCTCCCAGCGTCCGACTTGCTCTTGGAACCACTGGTCGGTTGCGGTGAAATACTGGCACCCGTAATCAAAGAAGGGCTTACCAGCCTGTGGGATGCTCCCATTCTTTGGCCCCGTCTGCGTGGCAAGCTTACCTCTGCTAGTGCACAGTGTGATGCGAGCATTGCGAAGACTGCTGGCACTGCCGACGTCACTTTGCGCCATGTGTGCAAGAGTTTTGGCGCACATCACGGCGGCCATGCCAGTCCCAACCACGGCGATTCGAGGGCCGACATCTGCCTGCATCGTTTTGACAGGGGTGCAGCTTCACAGTCACTGTATCGTGTAGCTGGAACTCTGGACTCAGCCAAACTCTGATGACCCTGAGAGATGGATATCCCGACAAAGAGAGAGAGAGAGAGAGTGAGGAACAGAGAGGGCGACAGAGAGAAAGATAACAAAAAAAACGTACACGCACAGACAGAGTCACAGCGATGAGAGAGGCTGCAGGAAACTCGATCGGGATGCCAACAGCTGTCGAACAGACTAGGCCATGCTTACTACTCCCTGTCGCAATCCAGCCAACAGAGCGTGGGTGGAGAACATCGGGCAGCGCATGACTGTGCTCAGAAATATGATCCCCAACGGTGAGGAGATCCCGAGGCCCCCCGTGAGCCCTCTACGACAGGGTGCCCTTCGCATCGGCACTGCAGTGATCGGGCCCTGAGACATGACATGGGGCCCCAGGGCGAGGCCTTGAAGAGAATGCAAACGAAACCTGGGAGCTCATCCTCGAACCGCCGATCGCGCGGGCTCACTCGGCATCGCCGGCGCCAGCCGCGCTGCGCTCGCAGAGCTGCATGGGAAAAGCGCGCGACCGTTAGGTCCTCCCGGTCGAGTGCCTCAACCTGTCCGGGGAAGGGGCAAGGGGGGCTGATGGAAGATGGAGGGGAAGCGCACGGGAGTGCTGATGAAAGGTGGAGGGCTGATGGGACATGGGAAGAGGCGAAGAGGAGAAGTGGGAAAGAAAAAGAGCAGGGAGGGCTTGGAAGCGAAGGAGAGGGAGAAAGGAGACGTGGGCTTGGGAAAAGCAGAGCAGATAATGGCAATGGATCCTGATAATATTGGGGATGGGATGAAGAGAAGAGAGAGGCAGATGTGATGACGGCCCTCCCAAAAAGACAAGGAAACTGAGACTGGGATGGAGGGGCTGAGCATACGGAATATCATAGTGTGTGAGAACGCAGGAGAACAGTGAAGAGAGGAGGGGAGATGAACGGAGAGGAAGATGGATGATGAGAAGGCGCAGGGCGAGAAGAACAACGATAATGATCAGAGGATGGCGAAAGAGATGCATAGAGAGGGAGAGAGAGAGAGAGAGAGAGAGAAACAACAAAAAAGACCAGGAGGCAGATAACGAGAGCAACGACGAGGGTAGGGGATAAGAAGGATGCGTCTAAACAGGGTAGAAGGGAGCAGAGTGAGGACATGAGAAGTGGTTGGGTATGGCACAGGAGGGACACATGAGGCATGAGGAGGGAAAAGAGAAGCGCACAATCCAGAGTGCAATCGACAATCGATCAACTATAGGGTTCCCCCGCAACCCCATAGCCCGAGTGAGCCATGATGCTGCTCACCTTCCTCACGGCATGTATGACGACTGCTCGCCGACGACGAGAGAATTCAGGAACACATCAACAATACAGCTCGACGAATGTAACACACGTGCGGGAGGAGGGCGAACAGATGACCAGCCGAATTAAATTGAGGCCGGGAGGTGCTGCGATTGACGTCGTGGTTGTGAAGGAGACACCGCAGAGACGTAAGGACGCAGTCTGGTATACGCCCCTCCTCGCATCAGCCCATCAAGCATTCGCCTTGCCCTTCCACTTTGGCTCATCGGTCTGCCAGCGTCGCTCCCACCATCGTCTTCACTCCATCACCTCCTGCATTTGCCTCCCCCTTCCTTCCATCGGCAACCTCCGCATCGGTCGGAGAGCCGATGATGCTGAAGATCTTGGTAAGCATGTCGTGCTTTCCGTGCGTGTAGAACTCAAGACAGTTTGGGATGACACAATCGATTGAGATATGGGGAGCGCGAGCTGACAGCCCTCCGCCTCCCCACGCAGCCGATCCACAGCGGGTGGGAACAGAGAGTAGAGAGGACGCTGCCACGCGCAGCCGGTGCCACGGCGTGGGAGGCGGCGAAGGAAGGGGGAAGGAACGGCGGGCGCGCAGGCAAGTAACCAAGAAAAAACATAGTCCCAATCCCAAAATCGCGGATTTACCGAGGACTCGAACATCGGCCAAAGATTTCGGGGTATGGTCTGCGCTCCCTGGTAAAACCCTGCCCCGAAATCTCCCTCCCCGAAGTCTCGAGGACCCTGCGTCTCGTTTTGGCCCTCGCGTTTTCAGGACTGGGCGTCTGTTTTGAGCTGGCGAGCAAGAGGGGACGGGACGGGAAGGGGACAGAGCAACAGGAGGCGAGCGGATCGGGAAAGAAGACGGGGCATGGAATGATACAGGACGAGCGTTCGTTGTGCCCACCACCCAACGCCCTCTCGGAGGCCGGGTCGGTCGACAGGGGGGGGCAGCAAAGGGGGGGTTCGCATGTCGGCTCGCACAGCTGACTCCTCCAGCGCCTCCCGACGCCGGAGGCGCCAACGCATCCAGGACAGCGCCTACTGGCGGGGCCGAAACCAGCTGCATGCAGCGATTTTCGTAACCTCCCCCCACTCCCGTCGGATCTGGGGGTCAACCGCCGCGCTGGAAGTCTGGCGCCCCTGGGGAAGCACGACGAACGACCTCCTCGTCGAGCCACCGCGGAAAACAACCAGGATCGAGTCGTTTCAGCACGCGGGCCCACACGGGTTGCTCGGGGAGCGGGGGCCGCGGGGTTCTCAAGAGGAGTCTCTGGGAGCCGCACAGGTGTGCAATAAGGTATGCGGCCTTCGCCCGAAACATGGCGCACACCGAGTACGGAACGTCTCGCACTCGCAAGCCTGCCCCGAAGAGGTGTCCACCACAACACTGTGCGCGGTGGCGGTCGCGAGTACAGCTTCATGGTCATAGTCCTGTCTCGGAGCTTCGAGCCAATCAGGACGGTCCACAGCAACACGACCACGAACTGCTCAGCTTCTCCCCAGCGCCACCCACCTGGCCAGCCCCACGAGGCTGGCGGCCAAATCAGTCTCCGGCCCTGCGTGCGAGCTCCCCTGGAAACAGCGGCCAAGTCTTCCAACATCGCTCGCACAACCAATCCCCCACCCGTGCATGCCCAACAACCTCCCCCCCGCCGCTCCCCCGGCCCAACTCCTCTGAGCCTGCCAAGTTGGCTTTTCCCGCCTCTAGGCCCTCTGGCCGACCCGATGTCCTGGGTGAGCAACACGCGTTCCATGGCGAGGCAGGCCCCCAAGTTGGAGCAGAACGAAGGGAAAGGCCCTTCCCACCCCTTGTCCAAGACCACCCGCTAGGCCATCCCTGGACATCGATTCCGCAACAGCCTGGCAACCCCTGCCTGACCCTAGCATCCCCGACTCGATCAGCCCAGTCAGGCACTGACGACCCGTATGAGACGCCCCCGCGGTATGAGAACCTGGAGGGTGGAGAATCAGCACCAGTCACTCTTGATGACCTTGAACTGACGGACGAAAAGCGGTCCAGCATAGACCTGTCGGCAACCGGGGATCCCCGTCCAGAGGGGCGGCCAGAGCCGTTCACGCCCCACGGTGGCACGTCGGGGCATCAGCTTCCCAGCCGCCTTGGGGGAGACGTCCGCGATGGCGGACAAGTCTAGCTTACACCGCTACTCGTCCGCAAACTTGAATGAAAGAGGCCGGCAGAAGTCCCATATCACCGACCATCGGGCTGACAGGAAACGGCCCGCAAGGGCGCGCCCAGCCGCACCACAAGCACAGCATACTTAGCTGAACAGAAGGCAGTCAGCCAATCTCGGCCCAAGAGGCCAAGCCACGGATGCGCGGCCATGTCTGGGCAACCTTGTGGGGGGAAGAGGAAGGGGACCATGACGCACACGCTCTCTCGCACACACACACACGCACACGCACACGCACACACACACACTTGACAACGATGGAACGGGATGTCGTCGAACTGCCGGCTTCCTTCATCTCCCTCCCCCCTCCCGCTCTCTCCTACAGGCCCTAAGGGTGACAACGTATGTACATGGAGGTACGTTTACACGTCAACATCTGGGGGTCTTCGTTGGCCAGTGCCCCATCTGTTGACCACTGGCCCCCTCCAGCGGACACTCGTTACCCTGCCGATCCTGACTATCGGATCGGCCGCCCCTTGGACACAGGGGTTCCACGACACACACGCACACACTGAACGCGGAAACGTCGGTGCCAATCTTGGTCAGCCTCCATTTTGGTCACCGTCGATTCGTGGATCGCGAGTCGGCGACGGTAGGCATGGACCATGACCAGCATCGGCGTCGACAAGATACAGCGACATCTTGGTTGGTCAATGTCAGCATGTTCCTTCGCTCGGAATTTGGACTCACACGGCACTGCCTAAAGCCAGGCGATGCAAATCATCCTTTTCAACAGAATATAGAAATCCATCCCATCCCACCCCCGGAATTAACACCTCCCCTTTTCGTACTAATATATATATATATATATATGTATATATATATATATATATGATGTTGCCCCATCGTCCACCTTAAATATGGATTCGTACAATCCCAGGCAGGCCAATCTCCCCCTCTCATCCGTTGCAACAAACACAATGCGCGCACACTCGTTTTATCCCAAGCCCGTCACTTTCCAAGAATCCCCTGCGCAAGCAAGTTGACGAAGTGCACACGCGCGCGTCGTCTCGCGCGCGTGCCGACATCCTTCAATAACCAAAATTCGAAAGGATTTCGAACTCGAGTGTCTCGAAAAGATCTGGCTAAACACACATGGCTTCGCAACAATATCTGTCGTACAAAAGCTTGCGTTCGGGTTTTCACAATTGCTTGCGCATGCCACGGCCTGTCGACACGTGCATGACTTGCTACTCAACGAGCCTCCCGCGCGCGCATCTCAGAATCACTCGACAGCCCTTGCGCGCGTGCTGTCGCAAGAAGCCCTTGCAAACAAATTCGGGACGAAATGCATACGCGCGAATCGTCGCGCGCGCACGCCGGTATCCTTTGAAAACCTTGGGCTTCGCAGGAATTTCAGTATCGACTGCCCCAGAAACATGTCAAAACACAGGGTTTTGCAACTCCAGTTTTCGAAAATGCCTGCTCTCGCGCTCCTGCAACTTCTGGGGGGGAACCATTCGGTATTCAGCGCGTCCATGAACTTCAGCCAAAAAGGCACTTCGCGCCGCACGTCGAAGTCATTCGAACGCCCGTGCGCGGTTGCTGGGGGGGGGCACGACTTGTGTCAAATATATAGTACCATGCGGGCGAGTGTCGCGCGTCGGCCGCGCGCGCATGACGAACGCTCTACTGGAACCCTCATCGCCGACGCGGAGGCGCCGTCATCGTCGTGGGGGTGATCAACATCGGCGTCGTCACTGGCCTTGCCGTCGTCGTTGTCATCATCGTCGCCAGCATCGCTACCATCATCATCGCGTCTATCGTTGTCGACGTTGCCATGATACCGCGCCTGGCCAAGTCGCGTGCCCGCTGACAACTGCCCCGCGGTCAGCGCCACCGCGGCCGCGGCGGTCGCGACAAACTAGCTGGCCGCTGCGCGCGCGAGCATGCGCGGGCTAGCGCGGGCGCAGAGATGCACCAGCCAACTCCCAACACTGATCGCAATCGCTCCCGCATGGGTTCTGCAAACATACTTGCGGGTGGGTGGGTGGGATGATTGCGCGAGCAGTGGAGTTGACAACTTCAAGTTCGGCAAGCGAATCACACTACATTGCTTGTACCACATAGCTTGAGCAACCTTGATATCACCATATACCATATTGCACCACATAGATTGCACCACAACGATTTCGCAACACACACACACATATGCATGTATAGATGTGTATACGGTTTGCTAAAACGCACTGTTTGGGTTCACGCTGGTTAACACATGTTTGCAGTGTGTTTCCTCGAGAAGTTCGGATCTCAGGAGGTAGTTTCTGGGAGCTTATCGTTCGAAGCACTAAAGGATATCAAGCCCGATGACGGGGCTATGAGGCCATGAGGCTGGATGTGCCACGATCGTGCCCAAGATTACGCTCAGTGTTGAGGCGGATTAAACGGTTGTGGCGGAACTTAGCGGGATCATGCCGAACTGGGCCGACATTCGACCACGGCTGCACCAGCGCCGATGCTGACTCAAACCTCCCAGGAGTTGCATCCTCATGGGGGGGAGGGCCGGGAGGACACGCGCCGCGCGGCCTTGTAGTCCTGCTTGTGCTTGTTGTCGGGCGAGAGCGGGAAGCAGGAGGAGCCTGGGCAGGGCCCGCGTCGGGGATGGAGGGTCGACGCCAGGGCGCACCGCGGGACCGTCTTCCTGACAGCCACATGTGAATCCTACCTCGGCAGGTCGAAGCGAAGCGAAGCCTGCCATCGCCAGTGTGAAGCAGGCAGCCCGCGCGGGTGGCAGGCGCACTGTTGCGGTGCGCGGGTCCTACCAAGGACAAGAGAGCAGAACTGCTTGACTCAGAGCTGCGTGTGCATCTCATACTCTCGGTCGTGTGCACCCCACACGTCCAGACTTGCAACTATTTGGAACCACGATTTTCAATGCTTCTCGGTAGCGAAAACCACCATACCAGCCTGCAGGCCAGATTTCTGAAACGCTGGCTGGGGCTAAGAATTCGGAGGGTGTCTGCAGCCAAGCGCACCCAGGCTGGGCTGCCGGGTAGGCCAGCGCCGACTGGACTCGCAGGGGTAGGGCCCGCAACTGGTCGCAGATCTTTGCCGCAGCGACGTGGGGCACAACGCCGTCGCACCAGAACGGGACACGGGGTACATAGGTGACTGCGCACCCGTGCCGCGTGGAAAAAAATGGGAAACCAGAAGGTACCGAATACCGCTACTCCCCTGGCGCGTTCTGCGCATCATTTCAAGGCGAATCCAGAAGTGGCGACGAGGGCCTCCCAGGAGGCCCAGACAGGCCAAAACGAGGGAAGGGTGGCAGCATGGATGCCCCTTCCTCCTCTGGAGAAAGGGCCGGCCGCGGAGGGAGGCGGCGGGGGGGAGATACTCGGGGATCTTCTGACCCGGGTCAATTCAAACCCGGGTCAGCAGGAAACCAAAAAACCGCAGTGCAGGAAAAAAACTGCAACGCAGGACTTCGCAAACCCGGGTCAGCCACTAGACGCGGCCGCCCCGCGGCCACGAGCGGCTCGCGGACCCGGGTCAGCCGGAGGGGGTCCTCGCAGGATCCTGCAGGATCCGGTGCCCTGGCTGACCCCCGTCTGCATTGACCCCCGTCTCGAGGCTCCCGAGGTACCCTCAGCTCGCGAGGAGCTTCGCGCGCGGGGCCGGGCGCCTCCGCCTCCACCTTAAGGAGCCGTGCGAAGGGACCACCCTCGGGTCGGACGACGGGGGGGTGGTAGCAGGAGGAGGCGTTGGCGGATTCGGAGGCGACGATGGGGGCGAAGAGTCCAGGAGGAGGAGGAGGAGCAGGAGCAGGAGGCGGAGGAGGAGGAGGAGGAGGAGGAGGAGGAGGAGGAGGAGGAGGAGGAGGATAGAGGGGAGGAGGAGGAGGAGGGAGAAGGAGGAGGAGGAGGAGGAGGAGGAGGAGGAGGAGGAGGATAGAGGGGAGGAGGAGGATAGAGGGGAGGAGGAGGAGGAGGAGGAGGAGGAGGAGGAGGAGGAGGACGAGGAGGAGGAGGACGAGGAGGAGGAGGGCCCAGGGGAGAGCCATACCGTGAATCCAGGGGCGCCGGCGGTCCATGCCTTCGGCAAGAAGCCGCAGGCGACTGCGTGCAACGCCCGCCCCTGCGTCATTCGCCCCCATATCGCGCCTCCGAGCGAATCAGCTCACGCACGGGGTTCCCCTGGCGCCTCCTGGCGCCGGAGGCGCCAGCGTACCGAGAAGAGCAAACAACCGAATCATGTACAACGGCGGGGCCGAAAGCAGTTGCACGCAACGGAGTTCGCACCCCCCTCCTTTCGGATGCTGTCAGAGGTGCCCCGTGCCCCCGAGGTGACCCAGGACTTCCAGGGATGTCTGGATGGCCTCCAGAGCAACGAAGACCCCGGGGGCCACAGGATGGCTCGAAGAGCTGGGGGCACCTTGGGCCAGGGACACCCTTTACCAACACCCGACACTTTCCCAGTCCCCCCCTCTCGCCCGACCCCGTGCGCCCGACCGGAACCGAGTGCACCCTGGGAGCACGCCGCAGGTCTCGCAGGGTGGCGCCCCGTCCGTCGCGGCCCGGCAGCCCCCGAGGAGGGAGGCAGCAGCGGCGGCAGGACGAGCACAGCGCCGGAGCAGCTGGCAGCGGCATCAGGACCACGAGCGACGCGGGCAGAGCGTGTGCATACCGCCGCCGTGCTACCGCAGGGAGCGCCGGCTGAGGACGCAGGGGGCTCTCCTGGCCACGGCGAGCCTCCTCCACGAATGTGCTCCCCGACCTGCCTCCAGGGGACCGCCCGAAGATCCTCCTCCTCCTCCTCCTCCTCCTCCTCCTCCTCCTCCTGAGCTGGAAGCGGCCCTTCTTTGTGCCCGGGGTCGCCAGAGGTGCCCCTGGCCCAAGGTGCCCCCCGTTTTTCGCCCCCTCTTGCAGCCCCCTGGGGGGGGCCCTCTGGGCCTCGTGATGGGGTGCTCCTCCAGCAATATCCGGCAGTGTCAGCGTCTTGACTATCTGGCGGGCCCAAGAAACCGTGATCCCCCCCCCCCAAACCGGGGCACCTCTTTGGGGCGCGCCTCGTGCATCCGCAGGCCTCCGCCCGCGGAGCCGCCCCGCCTTTTGTGTGCGTCCGCCCGCCGGCGAGTCCCCCCTGAGGAGCGCCCCCCGTGAGGCGAGGGGAGAGGTTTGACCGTGGCTGGAGGAGGCGGCGTCCCCGGTCCCAAACCCTGCGCCCAGGTGCTCTTCGGAGGCATCACAGGACGTGCTCTGGGCCAGAGCCAGGCTGGTGGCGTAGCACAACGTACAGGTGATGATGTCCATCGGATAATGCATCGATCGCTGCGCCGAACGACGTCTCGGGACGATCGACTATGTACACTATGTGCTCAGGGGGTGGACTGGCTGGGGCTATGCGACAAATGCGCATGCTGACCAATGAAAGTTAGGAACAAGAATAGCGCCTGAGAAGACACCGGCTGAAACAATTCTACTCCAATCCCCTCCCATCCCTTCCGTTCAGACAAACCCCACCAACGTTCGGGCCCAGGCACCCAAGCTTCGGATTTGGGAGCTGCAATCACAATTACTTTTAGGCTAATCGCTCTTCTTTGCCCGCGGCGGGCCATTCGATATGTCATATGCCCGAAACCCTCGACTCCCTGCCCTCCTCGTTATGGACGCACCCCCTTTGGGTGGCTCCTTTTCCATGCCAGTTCCTGAATGAGCCCCAGCAGGGTGAGACAATCGGGACAGACCTACCAGGCGTGTCGGGCGGGCGAGCGCTAACTTGACGGCGAGGGAGGGGGGGGGGAGTGAGAAGGAGAAGGCCTTCTCAAAAGGCGGCGGGACTTCTCAAGAGCCCTAGCGCCTTCTGAGAGGTCTTCTGCGCCTCCCGGGAAGGCTCAGAAAACTTCTCGGCGGGCCGGGGGACTTCCGAGCCTTCCGAGAAGGCCCGCCCCTTCTCGCTCCGAACCCCCCTGGGCTCGCCGCCGACCAACGTCGGAGCAGGGCGAGCTGAGACAAGGGCACGGTGGAGGCATTGGATAAGGAGACCTTCGATAAGGAATCCAGGGTCTGGAAGCCAGTGGAAAGCCAATCGTGGATTGGCCACGGATATCACCGCCGCCCTCATCAGACAAGGAACTCTCCAGGGTCTGCGGCCTCCTGGACACACTCCTGAACCAACGCCCCCACCGCAGCTCAAGATCGGCCTCCAGACCCCTGCCGAGGTCCAGAAGCACCAGTTTGCGGAGCTGCGCCCAGCCGCGGCGACGGAGGGGGCTGCCCGAAAGCGAACTGCCGTTGTCTCAACTCGCCATCCTCGGATGGAAAGCGCGACGCCCCCCTACACCAGCAAATCCACGGGGACATCCCTGGGGTCTCATGGGCTGGGCTCCTCGTGAAGGGCTTCTTTTGTGGACCGGCCTCCACTGTGCACCGCCCCCCTGGCCAGGCCCCACACCGGAAATCAATGGACATCTCGTGGGGTCTCATGGGCTGGGCTTCTCGTGAAGGGCTTCTTGTGGACCGGCCTCCACTGTGCCCTGCCCCCCTGGCCAGGCCCCTCCCTTAGGGGCCCAGGAGCGGCCTGCGCGCCGTCCTGGCTTGGCCGGGGAGGCGCGCGCGCCGCTCCTGGGCCCCAAGGAGAACGGCCTGGCCAGGGGGGCGGTGCATCTGTGGCGGGCGCCGTGCCGGACGCCCTGGGGCCAGGCGTGCCGTCGTTTACCAGCCTGGAACATCTCCCTATCCCCATGCGGGGCATCTCCTCATCACGATGCCAATCTTAGGGATTCCCTCATTCCCTTCCTTTTTGAGGCCGGATCCCCAAGATTGTCATCGCCTTTTGGCGTGCCAATCGTAGGGATGGGGATAAGCTCGAGGCTGGCAAGTCGTCTGCCGCCGCGATATACGCAGCACGCCACGCGCAGCGTGCTGCGCATGGAGTTCCACACGCGGACTGAGAACGTGCGCTGGGCGCGGCACGCTCGCCACAACGTGGGCCGACACGCTGAGCCTAATTAGGCGCAGCGTGTAAACACGGACGTCTCCAACGCGGCACGTGTTGACTACCTACCAGACCACCCCAACCCAACCCGACCCTTCGGGTTGGGTTGGGGTGGTTTGGTGGGTGGAGACGTGTTGCGTCTCAAGACGGGCGCATCAGGGCGACATCTGCTCCTGCCGGCGTCCGCCGGCCTCCCAGCAGCACGCCGCCGGCGGAGCCGCCCCCCGTTCTGCTGCCGCCGCCCTCCGCCGAAGAGGAGATGCCGGCTCCTGCGATCCTCGAGGGCGAAGCCCTGCTGGAACGCCTCACGCATCGATCTCGTCGCCCGACCTCGCCCCCCCCCCCCCCCCCGACCCTCCCGACCCTTCCCCTGCAAGGGCGCGGCGCCGCCTGGGAAGAGGGGCCCGCGGTCCATGTAGTGGGAGCCCTGCGCGGCCAGGCGCGGCAGGCCGGGGCGGGGGGCCCCTCTCGGGGGGGGAGGATCGGTCATCGATGAGAGCCGCGTGCGTATGGCGTCTTCTGTTTCCCGTCGCCAGCGGCGCCGTGAATCACTGCGCAGATCCCCGGGGAGCGCTCAGGGTCGCTTTGAAACGGGATTTGGGGCCTCCTGGGCCAACTCGGGGGTCTCTTCTTATACATATATATATATATATGTATGTATATATACTAGAACCATCGCGCGCGCTTCGCGCGCGCGGTGGTTCTAGCAGGCCCCGGGCCTTGACGAATTCACTGCTCCACTGAAGTAGTGGACCACAGTCCACGCATGCCAATCTAAATTCCGAAAGGCCTTCGAAGAAAATGGTTGTGTAGGGGGGCGGAGGCCGTATGAATCGGGTTCCCAGAAGGCCTTCTGGGAGCATGGGTTTGGGGCGTCTTGGGGAGTCTGTCGGGACGTGCCGTCGTCGTCGTCGTCGTCGTCGTCGTCGTCGTCGTCGTCGTCGTCGTCGTCGTCGTCGTCGTCGTAATGTCGTCGTCGTCGTCGTCGTCGTCGTAATGTCGTCGTCGTCGTCGTCGTCGTCGTCGTCGTCGTAATGTCGTCGTAATGTCGTCGTCGCCTATTGGGGCGCGTCGTCGTCGTCGTCGTCGTTTCGTCGTCGTCGTCGTCGATTCGAGAGGGCACTTGGGGCAACTTTGTGCGAAACGATCTGCGGAGGGCCGCGAGAACGCGATCAGTCATGTTCCCAATCAACTTCCCAGACAGCTCTCCTGTAGCTGTAGCATCATGGTACTTCGAAGCCTCTGGAGACTCGCGGGCCCATGATGAACCATGTCCCAGGAAGGCTTTCTGGGGACATGGTTTGTTGGGGTGTGTTAGGGGGGTCTCTTGGGCGTTCCCTGGGGGCCCCTTGGGGGCCTCCGGGAACTCGCGGGCCCATGATGCACCATGTCCCCAGAAGGTTTTCTGGGGACATGATTTCTTGGGGTGTGGTGTCTTGGGGCTTCCTGGGGGCTTCTTGGGCGCCTCACGGGGCTTCGTGGGAGCCTCTTGGTGGCCTCCGGGGGCCTACAGGAGGCCTCTAGGGCCAGAGACCTCGAAATATCGGTTGGCGGTCCCTCTCTCTTGGGGAGCTCTTGGGGCACAGTTGGGCAGTCTGGGGAGACTCCTGGGCCGTCTTGGGGCCCTCTTTGGGGCCTCGTGGCCCGTCTTGGAGCGATCTGAAGGGCCTCCGAGCAAGGCCGTGAGGGAGCGCTGGGAGGCTGGGAAAGCGAACGCCTAAATCCTTCAAAAACCATCGGAAAACGAGTGAATCTTGCCTCCCAGGGCCCTCTTGGGGAGCCTCTTGAGTCCGTCCTGGAGCGTGTTTGAGTCCTCGTCGGCCGTCTTGAGGGCATCTTGGGCGTCTTCGGGGCCTCGTGGGACCGTCTTGGGTCCTCTCGGGACCCCCTTAGCCTGTCGTGGCCTGCTTCGGGGCGGGCTCGGGCCGCCTCGGGAGCCCTGGACCCCCCCGTAACCCCTGGTGGGCACCGATGGGGGGAACAGGCAGCGGCCCGCCCCCCCCCCCGGGCCTACTCTAGAGAATCATGTTCCCGGGAAGCTTTCCGGGAGCATGATTTGTTCGGCTCTCTAAGAGGGGGCCTCTGGGGGCGTACCGAGGGGCGCCTTTTGGCCTTGTCGGCAAACCTATTGGAAACATGGTTGGGGCGGTGGGCGGAAGCCCAAGGAATCATGTTCCCAGAAAGCTATCTGGGAAATACGATTTACCGAAGTATCTTGGGGGCCCGCAAGGGGCTTCCCTGGGGGTCCCTTGGTGGCCTATTGGGGCTTCTGGGGGGCCTCTTGGGAGCCTCACGGGGCTTCTTGGGAGCCTCTTGATGGCCTCCGGGGGCGTCCTAGGAACCTCTCAGGCCAGAGACCTCGAAATGTCGCGCTCTTCGGGCCCTCTTGGGTCGCTCTTGGAAATCTCTTGGGGCGCTCTCGAGGCCCTCTTGACTTATCTGGGGAGCCTCGTGGGCCGTCTCTGGGCTTTCTTGGGAGCCTCTTCGGCCGTCTTGGAGCGATCTGAAGGGCCTCTGACGCGGTCCGGGACCGTGGGGAGGCGGAACATGGGAAAGCGCAAGAATGCTTCACGAACCATTGGAAAATGGATGATGTTCGGCTTCTGGGGCCCTTTGGAGGGGCCTCTGGAGGCGCTCTTGGGGCGTTTTGGCGGCGTCGTCGGCCGTCCTGAGGCCATCTTCGGCATGTCCGGGGCCTCTGGGGGCTGTCTATGGGAGTCCTGGGAACCCAGAAATCATACTCCCGGAGAGGCTTCCGGGAACATGATTTCGAACGGGGCCCTCTTGGGCCTCCCTGAGGCCGTCTTGGGGGCCTCCTGGGTTGGCTTTGGGGCCTCTTTGGCCGTCTTGGGGGGTTCTGTGAGCCCCACGGGACGACCCTATTGGGCCGTCTTGGGCCCTCTTGGGTCTCTCTTGGGCTGTCTTGGGGCTCCTCGGGGAAGTCTGGGGCACAGTGAAGACGAAGCAAGCGAGTATGCTGAAAGTGTACGTTTTTCGAAAGGGAATGGGCCGATGTTTGCCTCTTGAAGGCCCTCTTGGGGCCCTCTTCGGCCATCTTGAAGCCACCTCGGGCCCTCCTGTGCCTTGCTGAGGCTGTCTTGCGGGCCTCGTGGGCGTCCTGGGAGCCCGGAAGTCATGTTGCTGGAGAGGCTTCGGGGAACATGATTTCGAACGAGGCCCTCTTGGGCCTCCCCGAGGCCGTCTTGGGGGCCTCCTGGGCCGGCTTCGGGGCCATTTGGGCCGTCTTGGGGGGTTCCATGAGCCCCACAGGCCAACCCTTTTAGGCCGTCTGGGGCCCTCTTGGGTCTCTCTTGGGCTGTCTTGGGGCTCCGTGGGCGCGTCTGGGGCACTGTGAAGACGAAGCAAGCGAGCATGCTGAATTTCCTTTTCGAAGGGGAATGGGCCGATGTTCGCCTCTTGAAGGCCCTCTTGGGGCCTTCTTCGGCCATCTTGAAGCCATCTCGGGCCCTCTGGGGCCTCGCTGGGGCTGTCTTGTGGGCCTCTTGGGCGTCCTGGGAGCCCGGAAGTCATGTTCCAGGAGAGGCTTCGGGGAACATGATGTCGAACGAGGCCCTCGTGGGCCTCCCTGAGGCCGTCTTGGGGGCCTCCTGAGTCGGCTCGGGGGCCTCTTGGGCCGTCTTGGGGGGTTCTGTGAGCCCCACGGGACGACCCTATTGGGCCGTCTTGGGCCCTCTTGGGTCTCTCTTGGGCTGTCTTGGGGCTCCTCGGGGGCGTCTGGGGCACTGTGAAGACGAAGCAAGCGAGTATGCTGAAAGTGTACGTTTTTCGAAGGGGAATGGGCCGATGTTCGCCTCTTGAAGGCCCTCTTGGGGCCTTCTTCGGCCATCTTGAAACCATCTCGGGCCCTCGCTGAGGCCGTCTTGGGGGCCTCCTGGGCCGGCTTCGGGGCCCCTTGGGCCGTCTTGGGGGGTTCCGTGAGCCCCACAGGCCGACCCTTTTAGGCCGTCTGGGGCCCTCTTGGGTCTCTCTTGGGCTGTCTTGGGGCTCCGTGGGCGCGTCTGGGGCACTGTGAAGACGAAGCCAGCGACTATGCTGAAAGCGTACGTTTTACGAAAGGAACGGGCAGATGTTTGCCTCTTGCAGGCCCTCTTGGGGCCTTCTTCGGCCATCTTCAAGCCATCTCGGGCCTTCTGGGGCCTCGCTGAGGCTGTCTTGTGGGCCTCTCGGGCATCCTCGGAGCCCGGAAATCATGTTCCCGGAGAGGCTTCCGGGAACATGATCTCGTACGGGGCCCTCTTGGGCCTTCCTGAGGCCGTCTTGGGGGCCTCCTGGGCCGGCTTCGGGGCCTCTTGGGCCGTCTTGGGGGGTTCCGTGAGCCCCACAGGCCGACCCTTTTGGGCCCTCTTGGGCCCTCTTGGGTCTCTCTTGGGCTGTGTTGGGGCTCCGTGGGCGCGTCTGGGGCACTGTGAAGACGAAGCCAGCGACTATGCTGAAAGCGTACGTTTTACGAAAGGAACGGGCAGATGTTTGCCTCTTGAAGGCCCTCTTGGGGCTCTCACGGGCCCTCTTGGAGCGCTCTTGGGCGTCTTCGGGGCCTCTTCAGGCTTTCGGGAGCATCTGTACGGCCCGCGTGGCCTGTCGTGGGCAATTTGGGCAATTTGGAATGTCTGTGACCCCCCAAAAGTTCGGGGGGGCCCCCATGGGGGATGACGGCACGGATGTTCCCCCCTCCCACCCCCCTGCCTACTCATAAGACATATATTTATATGTATATATATATATATATGTATACACATTCATTTATGTAAACGTACTATATAAATATGTGTAACACACATGTATACATATACATGGGTTTATGTATGTGTGTATGGATGTATGCATGTATGAATGGACGTATGTATGTATGTCATGTCCCCCGAGCGTGACCAGAGATTTCACTTCTGAGTAAGGCGAGCGGGAGGCCAGACACTACCAGCGAGCTCACAAGCAATGCGCCGCTGCACCCCACGCAAAAATACACAAGGACAATATTTCGAGACAGCCGCACGGCTGGATACCAATAGTAAGCAGCAGCGGTGGAGGAGAGGAGGAAATGGAGAGCTTGAGCGACATGGCCACTGGTCGGCTGCAACGCGCAAGGCAAAAAAAAAGCTTTACAGGTAAAAACGTTTTTTTTGCCTGTGGCGTTTTTTTTTTTGCCTTGCGCGTCGGGTCCCCGGGGCACTGGCCGGGGCGCGCGCGCCGGGCGGGGGGGTGCTCCTCCGCTTCCCTCGGCCTGGCTCACAAAAGGAATCGCGACCAGGGTTTTTGCCTGTGGCGCTCCTGGGGCCCAAAGAAGGAATCGCGACCTGGGTTTTTGCCTGTGGCGCTTTTTTTTTGCCTTGCGCGTCGGGCCTCCCGGTCTTGCCGAGAGCGCGCGCGTGTAGAGGAAGTGCTCCCCTGCTCTCCTCCGCGTCAGTGGCG